CTGGGCCCCCAATTATAGGAAGGATGTGGATGCGTTGGAGAGGGTCCAGCGGAGGGCGACCAAAATGATTAGGGGGCTGGAGTATATGGCCTACGAGGAGAGGCTGAGGGAGTTAGGTCTACTTAGTCTGAAGAAGAGAAGAGTGAGGGGGGATTTGATAGCAGCCTTCAACTTCCTGAAGGGAGGTTTCAAAGACACTGGAGAAAGGCTGTTCAAGGCAGTGACAGATGGCAGAAGAAGGAACAATGGTCTCTAGTTGCAGTGGGAGATGTCCAGGTTGGATATTAGGAAAAACTATTTCACTAGGAGGGTGGTGAAGCACTGGAATGGGTTACCTAGGGAGGTGGTGGAGTCTCCATCTCTAGAGATGTTTAAGTCTCCGCTTGACAAAACCCTGGCTGGGTTGATTTAATTGGGACTGGTCCTGACTAGGGCAGGGGGTTGGACTTGATGTCCTTTTAAGGTCTCTTCCAGCTCTATGGTTCTATGATACCACAAGGAGAGTTTTGTGCATAACCTGGCTTACAATATTTTGAGAATACAAACAGAGGCTTCTTTGGTAATAAGCAGGCATCATGAGGTGCACGCTAATTTTATTTTTAAATAGGACTAATTTAGGTTTTATTTAGAGATGTTAGATAGCAGGTAACAGAATAGTTGAGTAACCACATGAATTTTTATTTTTTACTCAACTATTCTATAATTTCTGGGGGCAGGGCTGACAAGCCAGTGCACTCCCAGCCCCACTTCTGGGTAGCCCCCTGCCAACCCATGCTGCTGCCTCACAGAGAAGCAGCAGCATGTGTGACAGCAGACCCTGTCCACAGGGGTCTAAGCTCCTCATGGCAGAGGCTGCTGCGAGAAAGTAGGAGTGGCTGCTGCCAAGCAGCCTCTGTCCAGCCCAGCCCGGGCTACTGTTGACAGAGGCTGTGGAGGGGGGTCTGCAGGATGTGAAGTAGCCTCTGTCCCCAGGGAGCTTGGACTCAACTACTCATTTACATCCCTAATTCACATTCCGGTTTTTTACTCCATTGATTTCAATGCAAATACTGTTAACAGAGCGGAGCCAGGGCTGTTATTGAGATGAACACTTTTTTTACACAGCTCCTTTCTTTCACATGGTGCAATGGGGCACTAATATAATGGGACAATTAAATTCTCTAAAGGTATCATTTACAGAATGTTTGCTTCAATCAAGTTTAGCTAACAGGTCATTCAAATGACTTCAGCAGAACTCAGTGGCAGCTGGATCAAGCCCTTAATGTGTTTCTACTTTACTATGTGTTGAGCTAAATATATAACCTACATATTCACAAGTTCAAAGAAAGAAAAATGTTTATACTTATGGGTGGGACTTTGGATATAGATTAAAGCCAAGGTGCTCTATATACTGATCTTTTAAAGTAATATCAACATGTTGCAAAAGCTCTTAGGACACATCAAAGGTACATTTAGGAATTACAAATTAACATAAATATACATTAAAATGCTAATGCAGCCTGGCATAATTTTACTCAATCAGTTGCCTGGGGCAAGTAATTTCAGCTAATGGACAAGTAAATACCATTAGTTCTTTTCTTCGGGATTAACAAGGGTATTTTGTGTCAGGACTGGTGACTTCACGATATTTTGGCAAAGTTACACTGAAATATGTTACAGAGAGGCTTACTCTTAACTTTTGAAAAGATAAGGGACTAGTCACTTTAGAAAAACCAATATTATTTAGTATTTATCACTCACAATTCTTGCCAGACCACCATGAAAATTTCCCTCTTATGGCACATTATAGAATGCACATTGCCTTACATATAGAAGGTGTTTTGTATGCAGTGCCACATAAAACCTTCTTTTATCTGACTAATTACAATGTTGGTAAACAGATCCGTTTTTTGTTTAGTTTTGTTGGGAAGGGAAGCAGCACCAGGAACATGAAAATGCTAGTTCATAAAGACATGACAGTCTTGCGGCTAAAACACAGGACTGGAAGACAGAGATTAATCTACACCTGAAGTTTTATTGACATCACTATTTCAGTTAGCGGTGTGATTTTTTTTTTTAACTGCAATAATTATACTGGTAGAAGTCCTACTGCAGTTGTGCTTATACCAATATATGGTCATCTGAAGAAGTGGGCTGTGCCCATGAAAGCTCATGATACCATCTACATGTTTTGTTAGTCTATAAAGTACTACCAGACTAGTTTTTGTTTTTTAAGTTTATACCAATATAGTTGTTCCAATTCCTGTACTGGAACAGCCATACAACAAAAACGATCAGTAATAACTATAGCCACAAACACTAGGAAATACTGGTATAGTTAAAGTGATACAACTTTCTAGTTTAGACAAGGCCAGAGGATTCAGTTTCTACCCTAGTCTACACTACTGTGGGCCATCGATCCAAGTTACGCAACTTCAGCTACATGAATAATGTAGTTGAAGTCAACGTACTTAGAGCTACTTACCACAGTATCTTCACTGTGGTGAGTCAATGGCAGATGCTCTCCTGTTGACTCCATCTACACTTCTTTTTCTGGTGTTGACAAATGACATTTATTAGATGTGATAAAAATTGACCTGTGCTGTATCAATCGCTGCCCCTCGATCTGGCAGGTAACATAAACATGCCTTGTTTCCAGCAACAACAGAGACTCCCTGCATAACTATAGGCAAGTAACGACTGTTTTCCCATATCAAGGGTGAGCAATAAAATGGCAGCAGTTCTACAGAGTAGTCCCTGGAGGCCACTGCCGCTATATTCACCTGTGCCTCCGCAGGTACTGGTGATTGCTGCTCCCATTGACCATGGATCACTATTCCCAGCCAATGGGAGTGGCAGAAAGCTATGGAGCAACAGGAGCTATGATCGCCTATACCTGTGAAAGCGCAGATAAATATAGTGGTGGGGGCAAACCCTGACATATCCAGCCCACAGGCCAGTATTTGTCCACCTCTGCACCGGTATACTTCTCAATATGGAGTATCCCATCCTGTAGGTACAATTTACTTCCTTTGTTCCTTGGAGGTGTACGTTTACATTCAGCCATATTAAAATACAAGCCATTTGCTTTTCCCTTCTATTTCAGGAGAAGACACTGTGTTTTACCATTCATAATGATACTATTTCATGCTTCCATAACATCTTTCTTCTGAGGTCATAATGCACTGTATAGATATCCCCTTTGACAGGTAAAAAGGGCAGGCTCTTTTATGGAATGGGGGAGTCACAAAGAAGAGGAGTGATTTCCAAAAGGTCTCTGAGCAAATTGGCAGCTGAGCTAGGAATAGAAACCAGACTTCCGGAGACTTGGTCCTGTTTTAATCACACGTAACAGCTTCCCCCTTTCTCTATTAATACCATCCCAGTTATCCAAAAACAGAATCATGTCACTCAATATATATTGTATTGAGAAAGTCCTCAGTTACCAGCCTTTGCTCAGTGGCAGTGCCCAAAAGATATTCTGATGATCAAAGCTGTATCCTTTTATTCCTTATTATCCTCAGATATATTTCATTTTTCTCTTTGTGGCAAAGATACAGAAGCACTCTAATGGTGGGGACATTGCAAGTGTGCTAAAAGTACAATGCTCAACACACAAAAAAGCTAGGAGAACTGTTACACACAATCTCCTTTGAATATAAAATTACCTACAGAAGTACTGTGCAAGAATACTGAAATCTGTAGAGTCAGTCAAAGAAACAGCAACCAAAACTATTTTGCAAATGGCAAAATCACCTAGTCCACATCAAATCACCTAGTCCACATCTGCTCTAAATACGTGTGAATGTGAAACCGGTTAACAATCAGTAACACACTTGGGCCCCAATCTTGTAAAGAATTTCATGTGTTCTTACTTTATGCCGTGAGCAAGTCCAGGGATCTGGATGGCACTACCGGCAATGCAGATGTCCACGTGTGTAGATCTGTGCAGGACTAGGACATTAGCTCTAGATTTTCAAAAGGTACAGAGCATCCACAAATCCCATTGACTTCTTCAGTAGAGCTGTGAGTTCTAAGCACCTCTGTGACAGGGGCTAACCCCCCCCCCCAATAATGTTTATTATACTTTTTTTAAAGTGTTCTTAGATGAACTTTAATCAGAACATAATTAATATCAACCATCAACTGACCTAACTCAGAATTATAAATCACAATCTTAAAACTGCATCGTTTGCAATTATCCCAAAATACAAATAACCAACGTCTGGCCAATGTTATGACTTAGTTATTGGAAGTCAGCAGGGGAAACAGACGTGGAATAAATCCTTCTCTTTCCCCTTTGCCCCCCCCCCCCGCCCCTCTTCTGGTCTGGCAATGAGTGCACGGACCCCTGCAGTCACTACTGCACCCCTCTCACAGGAAGCCAACAAGTTTTTGAAAGGAAATACCAGACCTCTTCGTGAGAAACCAGGCATTTAGCCACGTCCTTGTTTAAAGTTTTAGTGGGCTTTCTCTTCAAGGGTGATCTTGCAAAACCGGCACTCTTCTAGCATTAGCTCACAAATGCAGTCAATGGGTCAAAAGTCTCACTATTTGCTAACCTAATACAGTGTACGGTGTGTATGTGTGCCACACAAAGCAAACTCACCTACAGTACAATGTGGAGAAGAGGCAATCACACTCACTGCAGACCAGCCAAGACTCATATTTTATATCCCGCTTGTCATACTTTAATATTTGAGCCACTGGCGTTTCAATTATATATGCAAAAATATATCTCACTTTCTTTTGATATGCTCCAAAGTGTGTCAGCCTCACAAAACTACAAAAAAGAATGTGCTTAAACCATACTAAACGCAGAAAACTTTCAGCTCAAGGGCTAGTCGCACAGTAGTTGGAAAAAACCTGCCCTCCCTTTTTAAGGGGTTCCTGTAACAAAGCGAGCCAGACGGGGAAGAATGGAGGGGAACAGACCTCAGAAACCTGCTCTTTAAAAAGAGCTGATCACTACCGCAAAGACCTGCCCCCTCCCCCATTCCGCTCCCTCGCCCCGTACTCACCTCTGCGTAGAAGTTATCCATTGTTGAAGTGGAGAATGCAACTTGAGGAAGTCAGTCTAGCAAAAGGGCTGAGCTGCAAACCCTGAGTAGCCAGGGCGAGTACTCCCGGCAGGGCTGAGGAATTTCAGCTTTCACAGCCCTGCTCTTGCTGCCATCACTTTTGCCCCCTCTCGACTCCTTCCTCTCCCGCAAGTCAGGAGCACATTCATTCAGACAGGCCCTTTGTCTCTTTCTCTCCCCAGAGTGCTCAGATCCGTGGCAAGTGGCTGAGCCAGAAACCTTGGTGGCCCATTGCTGCCTTGTCGTGGAGCCCCGGGAGGGAAGCAAATAACTACAATATACAAGAGGAGGAGGCGAGAGGGGTTCCGGACGCCGGGAAGCACGTGTCTGCTCCGCGTAAGTGCCCCCCAGCCGTGCAGCGCCTGCAAGGACTTGCAGAGAGCGCCGAAGAGACACGCGCGCTCTGGCTGCTCCCTACGCAAGGCGCCAGCAGGGCCGCTCGGGTCACTCGCGGAGAGTCCCCGGGGATTGGCAGGCCCCGCCCCCACAGGAGAGG